TGCCCGGCGCTGCGGGTTTCTGTATAGCTCAGGGTAGCCTACTATACTGCACGAGGAGGGCAAAACATAAACACAGGGGGGGTGGGGGGTGCTTCCAGGCGGAGAAGCAGGCTGGATCTGGTTTCCCCCACAACAAGAAGAAATATAAAACCATCCTCGTCAGATTGTTTTCTTCCTCTTTATCAATGTGTCTCTTTAAGAATGAGATCGCTGTCTCATTCATTAAAGCTGCAACCTGTAGGAGGATTTCCTTGGCATTGCATTTTTATTTTTTGTGTTGTCTTGTATTAATAATTGATGCATTATTGTTATTTCATATTCAGATTTCATGAATGCAAATATAATTTATGTTTAAAATAATCAAGCCTGTGTATAATACATTTTACAGACCAGTGAACCTTGGTGTTGACTATAAATATGAGGGTCTGTGATCCCTGAGGGACCAGGCACTCAGAGATCTTCCATATACCTGAAGTTACCTTGCAGCTCCCTCACACCATTGATAATGGAGGGTTCACAAACAAGGTATTAAAGGTGCAGTGTGTGCAGGATTTGGCGGCATCTGGCGGCGAGGTTGCAGTTTGCAACCAACTGAAACTTCTACCGTGTGCCAAGCCAGTATGCCGAGAAAGATGTGAGAATGTCTCTTCTGAAGCCAGTGTCCCTTCTGGGCTACTGTAGAAAAATGGCGGCCTGCTTCGGGAAGAGAAACCGCTCCGGATGTGGATATAAAAGGCTCATTCTAAGGTGACAAAAAAATCCTATTTTTATGTGATTATATACTAAAGAAAATATACATTTCAACATTACATTACATTTCTGTTTTTAGTTTTGTAAATGGAGAATGTTTTATTTACAGACTGGTTAGGACTGTTCTAATACCTAATCTGGTATTTTGACTTACAACTGTTCACATAATCCTTATAACAGGAAAGTGTAAGAACAGATGTAAGATGTGCAATGTAAAACGGTTTAAAAGAAGAAGAAAACAAACAGATGAGAGTGGTCTGTTCCACAATGACAATGCCTTCACTCCAGGCTCGTGGTCGCTTAACAACTTTCTAATAAGTGTTTTTTTTTCCTCCTGTCACCTATCTGTATGAACAGGTCTGTAACTTCAGTGGCACAGCTGAATGCTGTGGAGATAGTGGAATTACTTCGGAGCTGTCCGTGGTACTAAAGCAACAGTGAAGCCGTTAACACAGTCAGGAGTGATTTCAGACTTAAAGACCTGTATAGTAATCACCACGGAACCAGACTGATTGAGGCTGCAGGAAAAGTAACAGTAAAGAGGGAGGGGAGACAAGAAGGGACTTTGGTGTTAATGGCGGTGAAAACTATTGTCCCCACAAGGCAAATATATTTTTATTACACTGAGCTGCAAATAAACGGCCAGTAAATCCCTCGTGAATACACCCTAGCAGAAGATAATGCATGCTCTATGAATGTCTAGTGAACTAGTGCAGTATTTAGATGAATTCTTGCCAAAACATGAAGGGCAAATGGTGGAGGAAATGGATCTCAATTGCCACACTACTTCATACTTCACGTCAGATGCACATCCTCAACCTCAACCACAGATATCTAGATCAGAACTGTCCATTTATTTTGTACATAAAACAGGTATGATGAAATTGTATCATGGTGTGTATATATCCAGATTTAATGCAGGTTTATACGTTAAAAAGGAGCTTACGTACTGGTGGACTCAGGAGGTAAAGTAACACATCAAAAAAGGCCAAAGTGAGAAAACGTGATGAAATGCCTTCTTGGACAGTCTAACATCAGATGGTAATACAACAATACATGCAAATGTTTGGAAGTCTACGCCATAAATGACAGACATTTAAATAAACTGACATTTTTAATCTTCCTCCACTCTTTCGGTCTCAGTGTCTTTAAAATAGTCATCTCCTTTCAGGTCGAAGGAGGAGTTTCACTATCGTTATGCAATGCGTTGCATCAACATCCATTCAGTGTAACTACATTCAGCAGCGCCGAGCCAAATATATCTACACGATACGCAATAACAAACTTCAATGTGGGATTGTGCATCAAAAGTTTTGCATCAGAACAACCTCAAAACATTGCCCACTTCTTCCAATGTTCCTCCACCTGAAAATGACCTTTCAGCATCTATTCAGAAGCGAGTTTGTGTGGCACATAAGTAACAATGATTTACCACTGCACAAAAAAAGATTATTTAACTTTTACTAGCATGCAATTGATGAACTTAAGATAGCCAGATTAGTGCCACACTATTTGCTTTATCAGCATCATGTAGCTCGACTAGTTGCCAAAATTAAAATGTTTATTGACTCAATATTAAACACGGATGTGCACACTTTACTGCTAATCCATATATGCATAAACATGTGTATTAAACAAAGTGCATTATTTAAATATTTCAAAGGTGCACGGAAGTTTCTAACGAAGGCAGTAATAAAATGAGCTGCCTCAGCTGCAGCACTTAACAAAGGACTCCCAGTGAGTATACTATCACTCTGAAACCACCCAATGGGTACAGAGCATCACACACACACACACACACACACACATTCAATGCAGTGTCTCTATGGTGTGCCAACTCACATGCCTATGACATAACAGGGCTCCTACTCCCAGGCCTAACGCCCCTGACAGATCCATGCACGCTTTGCTGCACATGAGCTATTTATATACTGCACCCAAGACGAGGCCGTTCAAAAAAATACCACTCCGGTCAATTATTCATTGAGAAACATTCCAAAAACAGAGCGGGGAGCGTGTTCGGCCGCACGGGAATAGACCAAGGGGGCTAACAATAAATAATGTCCATTAGCAATGCAGCAGCCCGTTTGTCCTCAGCGGTACCGAATCTGAAGGAGAAGAAGGGCGGGAAATGTGTAGCAGCAAATTTACCCTCTCACGTGTTGTGCTTGTATTTATAGGAGTCTGTGCATACACTTCAGCTCCTCTGCAACCATCTTGTTCCTTTACAGGATTCTAAAAATAGCCGGCTGCGCTGCGCTTGTGCCATTTTTAGGTATTGCAATTTAGAGGGGAAAAAAAAACAGACAGCAGGGAGGAGAGAAGGAAGTGCTGTTTTGCATGGATACTATGTGGATGCACTGTTCCATCTTTGTTCTAAGATGCTTCACGCTGCATCTGCAACATCTTATTCAAATGAACAGCTTTTAACTGCAAGGTTTTAATTCATTCCTCCGACATTTATTGCGTTATATGCCGTGTGGAAGCATTTTGTTCTGTTAAGAGCTAAAACAAAATAACAGGGTGGTGTTGCAAAACTACGAAGCTTTTTAAGTTTCTAATTATTATCATCTCCATCCGGAGGATAATGCTATTGGCTTCTGCATTACATTCAGTCATTTAGTCATTACAATTACGATGAGGTATAGCTGCAATAGCTTGGCGAGCTTCATTTTGTTTTTAACAAGATTGTATGATACAACAACTTTGAGCCGGTTGCCTGCATACAGCCCAGTTGTTTTTTTCTATATAAGTAATGCTGAGTGCTATACACTGCTGGTCTTAAGACGCTCATCTATTTTCCAAATTGATCTACAAAGACCAGAGTTGTGTGAACCTGGAAGAGCACAAATGTGAGAGCAATAATTCAATGTGAATCTTAAGATGTCAACGCATCAATTTGATGAATTATATTCAAACCTTTTTTTTTTTACCATTGGAACTTAAAAAAATACAGGTATTTTTCAGGTTATCATGAAAACCATTGTAAAGTGTTAACACTCCTATCAAAAAATATTAAGGTGAACTTTTGGGTGTGAAAACCGAGAGACCGTTTTGGGCGTTTGATTATGGATCAGTTATTATAGAGCTGATGACGGGGGGGCTGCTTGCTGCAAATTGGACTGCTTTTGATTTTTGATCACAAAATTGACTTTTAACCCGATTAAGAACACATTTTGGGCTATCACACAGAGAGGGAGAGACTGTAGGTGTCGATCTCAGGAGTGTGGCTAAAAAGTCAAACAGTGCCACCATTTGGCCAGTTTTAAAATGTTAACTTTCAGGTTTTCCACCAAGGATTCATTTAGTGTGGCTGTTAAGTGTTCATGGTGAAAAGCTACAACTGCTTACTTCTAGGAGTACACACGTCTGTTTATATTTTCCAAAGAGGCAAAGAATTGACACAGAGAAATTAACTAATGAAATCCACACACTGCCTTTAATACTGTACATTAAATACAGATTCCACTTTTGTTTTTTTAATAGATGGTCAATGGCAAAACCTTTTTCTGCCTTATGACTTCCATAAGTTAAGAAGCAAAAGTAATAGCACGTTGTAGTTCCTCTCTTTTGTATTTAAATTACCTTGGAGCAAAAATCTAAGTTTGTCTGTCCCATATAAATAGGAATGATATTGAAAAAAAAAGTGCAAAAAGTTGAGAATTCCCGTCCATTTTATGAAGCAGAACCAGTGAGGGCATATACTGTTCAGTTTGAACTCCTTTATCCTCTGAGTTGAGAGACGCTTTCCTTACCAACCCAGCAACAGACTTCAGCAAATACTGAATATCATCCTTTTCATTTAAAGTCGAAAACATGGCGCCATCTCCAGGCTGTGCTTATTATTCCACCTCCAAGTACCAAAATGTCTTCAAGAAATGACGATGTGTGTTCCAATTAGCACAGATTGAAATCAAAATGTTGCAGAAGAACTAACTGGAATTTGCGAACCTTATTTGGTTTTATTCGCCTTCCATTTTTTTGTGGAACCTAGAAAAAAACAATCATAACCTCTTGATTGTTAGAGAACAAGAGGTCCTGCATTTGACATATACGTCGTGGGGCACAATTATCTACAGTTGACATTTCAAACCTAATTCTTTTGGGGAGTTAGAACCCAGGTTCTACTGATATGAATCTTGATACCTCACCTTTAACCACATCTACATTTCTTGCACTTTTATTTTGTGCTACTTATCTGCGGTCTTCAGATGGGTGCGTGTCTGTCTGAGTGTTCGTTATCTGGTGTGTGTGTGTGCATGACGGTGGGGTGTTCCTGGCTCGGTGATTTAGGGCTGACGGCGTTCCTTCTTGGTGAGCAGGTAACACTGAATGGTTCTTAGTCGATCTTTGGCGGGGGCGAACTCGGGCTGCAGCTTCAACGTGGACTCGTACCAGCGCATGGCTTTCTCAAACTCCTCCTGTCGTCGAGAAAAACACAACAACCACGTCACCATCGGGACGTTTGAAACCCAAAGGACGTTCAGACAGTAGGAGAAAATGTGATAGCAGCCATTACCATTGCGATGTAGACGTTGGCGAGGGTAAAGTGGTTCACGACGAAGTGCGGGGCGATTTCTACCGCCATGCGGGCGACTGTGAGAGCGTCCTCCCACAGACGAGCGTTCTGGAAGATGTTGGCCAGGCTGATGAGGGGCACGTCCTGGTTCAGGAAACAAAAGAATGTATTTTCATGTTTAAAACAATCCTCTGTTCAGTATAAGTAGCAGGTAGGTTACCTGCTGATAGGCTAACTTGCCTTCATGTGATGGGGGGCGTAGTTGAGGGCCTGTCGCAGGCAGTCGATGGCTCTCTTGCCTTGACCTTTCACCCTCCAGTACAGTGCAGCCATGCTGGATAACACCCATGATGTTTGATTCTGGAGGAGGATAAACGATGAATCAACAGAACAGTAAAAACACGAATAATATGGTCATTGCATCTTTAGAAATCAGAAAATCTACTTCGATCTTCTTGGCATTTCGCCGGTTTCCTCGGAGTAGATTTCGCAGAAATAATGGCTGCGATTATTTCATTTTCTGAAAAACCTATATTCAGAGAATCTTGTCTAAACGTGCATCGTTTGAATACAAAAGGTTGTCTTTAACGTAGAGATGTGAGGGCTCTTACCTTCTCCAGGACTTTAGCGATGCGCGTTCCCACCTGCTCAAAGGACTGAGGAGAGAACTTATCTTTGCCGAGGTTCTGCAGGACCTGGAGGTCAGAGACACACACATGGGACTATTACCTGAGAGGTGATCATTTCATAACAGTCTGTCAATCACGTCAGTCTTCCTACAGTGTAGAACTCTCAAGTGATTTTACATCAGTAGCATGCATCTACACCTGTTGCATGTTCTATTAATTCAGATGAACTACTGTGTATACCCCGCTGGACCTTTTAATATATTAGTAATACAGCTAATGAACCAAAATATTTATGATCATCATCAGCTATATCTAATTAGTGTAACATTTGGCTACTTAGAAGTCTTTTATAATAGTTATATGGGAATAGACTAGAGAGAGAGAGAGAGAAAGAGAGAGAGCCCCATCTACAGTCCTCAGTAATATAATTTCCCGCAGCATCATGAAAGTAAATGTTGTGAACTTCTCCCAGCAGACTTTAAACAAAGTGTTTTTTCTTATGAGCATGTTCAACATGTTCACATTGGTTTTGATTTGTCCTTCTGTTTCTCTATCATTGTGACCACACATTAACGCCGCTGTTGGAACATACGGTTTGCGTATAGAAAGAGAAGAGTGTGCATGTTCATTCAGCCTGGGCCTACCTCACGCAGCTGGCTCTCTCCAGTGTAGTGGATGGCGGCCCGATTGGCCACCCCGGCCAGGTGGTCGAGGGTGTGCATACTGGCAGCTAGGTTGGCGTTGCATAAAGGTTCGGCAGCTGGCTCCTGGAGAGGAGTGGCAAAGTCTATGTGCTCTGTGATGCTGGAAAAAAGGGAAAAATCAGACATCAGACTAACAGGATTTACTGTATTTTGGTTGTTGATATGCTGTGATGGAAGATGAGAATGTGACCTGGACAGTGAGAGTCTTACTCAATGTTCTTGGCGGAAACAGCCAACCAGGTGCTCGCTACAGTGGTGAGGTCTACCCTTCGTGTCCGCTGGCACTCCTCCGGCCCCGGCCAGCCAAGACTTGTGTAGTCCCTCCAGCGACCTGCTCAGAAACACACAAACAAAACCAAAGACGTCTCTTTTAGTTGTCCAGCACCTCAGTGTTGTATTTGTGCGTTCATGCTGTTGTAAAAAAAGAAAAGAAATGCAGCTGTATTTGGTACCTGCAGGGCCAGGCGATGGGATAGTCGGCCCGCTTATCTCCAACACAGAGTGTCCTCCAGGCAGCGACTCCCCGCTCTGGCCGTCATCACTGATCGCAACGCTCTCCGTCCCGTCCACCTTAGCCTTCCTCACCCGCTTCACCTGGAAGGTGATCTGGTGAACGAAAGCCATTCAGTTCGGCTTTGAGCGCTCCAGTCCCCCAGGTCTCACCTGCTTTGGTGAATCGATACTGTATAAGGACGGGCATGCACACGTACCCACTCGGCTCCCTCGTCGTCCTCACAGTTTCCGAAGCAGGGCCCGCCACCGGCACGGGCGCCCATGACGCGGTCGTTCTTTAGCACCCGGATACCCCGCAGGTCCCCGCGCTTGCCCCCGACATCCAGCGCTCCCTCAAAAGCCCCCATCAGGTCCTCCTTCAGCTGCCACTCCTCCTCCCCTTCTGCTCCTCCTCCTCCTCCGCCGCCAAATGGCGTGGGCATCTGAGCTGCTCCGGAGGCCGAGGGAGAAGCCCGCTGCTGTCCAGCTGCTTCACCTGACCCGTTGGTGTCCAAGATAACCTCTGAAGAGGGAACAACAAGGGAATAAATACGAGTGGTGTCGAGCTCCAGGAGCACTTAGCAAAAATGTTCAGGACAGAAACACCCCATTAGAGCCGGATAATGATATTTTTCACAGCGGTAAATTAAGCCAACGGACATGTGAGACGGTGGTGGTGTTATTCTCAATGACATTTAGTCAGTTAACTCAGGATAATGATACTATTAACGGACATCACTGACTGAATAAACGAGCCAGAGATCATGCTTGCAATCATTGAAATGAATTGTATGAAGTTTTATTTTGCCACTGGATGCGTCACTAAATCATGTTCGTACTCTCAAAGAGCAGGGAGTCCTCCATGGCAGAAATGGCCGGTGCGTCCTGCTTGTCTTCGCTGGCGTCCCATTCCTCCAGCTGTATCCCGAGGTCCTTCTCAGCCCTGCAGGCAGCGCCCTCTGATCAACACAAGTCAGGTTCAGACACACTTCTTATGGAAAAGGAGCTGCAGCAGGCAATGAAACGCATGCATCTATAATCAAACTGATTAAGAAAGACTGATTAGAAGACAGGTGACAAACAGTGACGTTAAATGTATTTTTATTATTGTATTTTATTGACTTGAACAATCAGCCCACTCTTATGAGGGATATGATGTAATCGTAATGTTACTACAATTCTCTCCTGGACAGAAAGTGACGCATCTTATATTTGGAGACAACAGAAACTACGTTTGTTTTTATTTTGGAACACCTCCCCCTCTCTCCCTCTCCCTCTCTCTCTCTGGTCTGAATGTACTCTAGCAAAGCTCAGATAACTCCGGCTGTAGCTGGACAGACACTCGATGTGTGCAGTTGATTACTGGATGTCACAATCTTAAAGGAGTCGTGGAGGAGACCCATGAAAACTGCTGTGTAGGTGCAAGAGACACCACGGATGGCGCAACATTTAACCCTGTGGGGCCATTTCTCAACCGCAGTAGTTGGCTATCAGACAAGAATATGTATGATGTTGTTTTTCCTAAAAAGACAGAGAGCCCAAATTATTACCACCTGATTGACTGCAGCAATACCTGCAGCGACTATGAAATGTAACCCGAGAAAGATTTGTGTATATAAACCTTTTGCCCTAACGCTGAGGCGGGTGTGTGTTTTCTAAGTGCTTATGCGACCTCATGTAGCAGCCGTGCTTTATGGGAGCAATATTTAGCTTTGCAGAGTAAAATATAGACCCTTCTAAATTTGGCATCAGCTATTTTCTGCAGTCTAAATTATTAAGTGGCAAAATTTCTCCACTTCAAAGCACTTTTCTCTTCACTCCCACTGACGTGAATAAAGAAGAAGGTGCGGCCTCTGTTCACATTAGAAGAGCAACATACTACTTGCTTCTCACGGCTACTCCTGCAGCTTCAAAGGACAGGTGTGTGTGTGTGTGTGTGTGTGTAGGTGTTCACAGCTCAATGCAGGTAGCTGGTAGAGCTATCTTTCTGCTACAGCTACAGGATTATTACTGCTCTGTCCCTGCATGTTTGTATTGAGAAACTCTCAGTCTCAGAGTCTAATGATGCAATTGTTAGGCCTTTGGTTTAGCTCCCAACAGTGTCTCAAAATCCCTAAATCTTAGTTAACAGTATAGCTGCATGCTCCAACAGAAATCTGGGAGTGCCCCCCTGTAAGTAGTAAAGTTAAGTAAGTGACATTCGGAGGAAACAATCCATTGTACTTCGGAGAGAGGGAGTGTGCATTTGATTGACTTACGTGAGCAGGGCTGTCGCTGGGACAGGTTGTAGAGGAAGGGGTAGAACTGCAGACAGCGCAGCAGAGGGAGGCTGCTGCGACACTGCTCACAGCCAGCAAAGGAGGAGAAGGAGGAGGAGGAGGAGAGGGCCATCACCAGGATCTGGCGGAACAAAGCCAGAGCACCTGTGACGTTGCCCTTAGCCAACTGCACGCTCACCATGCTGAGCAGGGAGTGGGGCTGAGGGAGGGAGGGAGGGAGGGAGGGTGGGGGCAAAACAAAAACATTAGCTGCTGGGGAACATACGTGGGAACTCACATTCAGCTTGAGCAGATAGATGTATCTCCTATAACAGATAAAGGGACAAAAGCAACGTACGTGCATGAATTCTTGTGCACTTTAGCAGCTCCGGTTCCTACATATATTCTACCTGCTGTTCATCAACATGCATCCTTTTACCGCTACAAGTCCCTGTGTGGATGGCTTCATTTAACAAGATGTTGGAAAGTTCTCTATTGATCTTAGTTAATGTTGACTCAACAGCATCTCGCAGATCCTGCACATGTTCGGGACAAACAGTTTAAACCTTCCCACGGTACTCTTTGTGGGTTGAAACAGGGAGAATCTACAGACCACTGGAGAGGACTACATTCATATTCATGTTTATAGAACCACCTCGAAATGATGAGTGAAGTGGCACAATATACTGCTGGATGCCTCAAAGTGACAAAGGGTACAGTGGGTGTGGGTACAGTGGGTTGCCAAACCCAGTGGGTGGTCAAACCCAGCAGGTAGTGTGCCGATGTGCCTTTACCTCCGATGCATTGACAGCCAACGCTTGCTCCAGCAGTGTTTGCGCGTGGGTGGTCAAGCCGTGGTGCAGCAGCAGGTTAGCGGCGTTGGTGAGGGACAAGTGGCGGTGGGGGGGTGCGGCTGAGCGCAACACTTGGCGCAGGCACTGCAGGGCACGGCTGGCATTGCCTTTGGCCCGCCAGAATAGAGCCGCCTCATTGTGGAGCAGCCAGCGGGGCACGGCGGCCTACACAAACAAACGTCTGTTAGCTCTGAAGACGAACGACTGAAGACGATTCATAATCAAATTCTCAAATGTGAAATTTAGTGGATTCTTTTTCTCAGCACGACGACTCTAGTACCTAAGTACCTAAGTACCGGTATCGGAGCTGATCCGAGCATATTTTAACAGACCGGTTTGGGGTAAAATGAAGCGGATTCAAATCCTTTCTGTACTGAACTCCACCGTGTGTTGTCCGCTTCAGCCTGCTGGTGTTGCACCGAGGCTCACATTCAGCCCGGCTCTACAGCGCGAGCATTCCGCTCATTATGCGAGATCAAATTAAGAGTGTGTAAAGAAAAAATATTTGATTGCGCCAGTGATTGACTCCGTTTGACACCTGTGTTGGTAAAAATGTGCGAAGCTCGGACAGAAACAAATCTGTAATCTCTCCTCTCTCTTTCACATTAGCAAAGATCAGTTAGCAGCTTCTCCTTTTTAGCCAGCGGAACGTCACTTTTGCAGGTTGAAATGACAAAACGCCACAGGCAGAAGTTCACATCAGCTTCTGCTATGTTGATGGTCGGTGACATTAAAAACTTGGCCCTCTTACTTGTTTCATAGCTTGAGCTATTCTGGAGCCGATCTGCTCCAGCGTCCATCCTCCACTACGTATCTGCAGTACCTGTGATCACACACAGTAACACCAATGATTGGGTATTCTTCTGCACAGTTCCACATACAGAGGCCGGGCATAGTAATTCTGTTAACATTCTGCACATGCTATGCATCCATCTCCACACACAGATAATGAGGCAGACAGAGACCTGGGAGGCAGAGGGATCTGGAAGCGTCTTTTCTTCCAGAGGCCAGTCCAGTGAGGCGGGCAGGAGGGCTGGATATGGTTGGGGGACGGGACCACAGTCTGGCAGAGCTGCCGTCAGAGGACTGCTGCTCCCGTAGAGGAGAAGCGCCACTGGGCTGAATACACACAATAACACAAAGTTATTTTTACGTGGTCAACTCTGGTCGCACAAGCGGACTCTTTTCCAACTTGAACTTCAAATTCTTCAACCTCAAGTGGAACGGAGCTATGCTGCTACTCTATACCCCCCCCCCCCCCCATCCAGGAAGGTGTACTGACCCGAGGCCCTGTGTCTCAGGGGGCAGGTAGTAGGTTGGCAGCAGGTGAGCAGGGGGAACACTCGGGTACTCGTGGGCACAGTCGGTCCTCTGAGGCCACAACCTCTTCTGCGTGTCCTAAAGTGAACACAAAGAAGTAACGAACAGATTTAAAATATCCCACATGCCATTCTGATCAGAGATTGTATATTTGTCCATTACACCTCTACGGGTATACAATTAACACAAATGATAATTGCAGGATTTCTGTAATCTTTGGTTCACAATGAGTGACAATTTCAATCGCTCTAATGTTTCAGAGTCCTCTGCCACTTGTCCTTTTGGTTTGATTTGCTGGTGTAATACCATCCCTGTAGTTCTCTGTCTTGCCTGTGTGTAATCCTGCTGGCGGCCCCAGAGAGCAGCAGCAGGGTCCTGGTCTCCGGACACAGAGGGGTGCAGCTGGGGGGTGGCTGCAGTCTGGTTCGAGTTGCGCTCCGATACGAGCGCCACGCTGGACGCCACCGACACATCCTCCCCAAACTGTGAACAACGAGAGAAACAGACTAAGAACTGAGACACAGAAGCTGAGGTAAGATTTTTCTTTTACTGGTAATATTCCCGCTTGTTTGCTTTAATTGATAAATATCCGCTGGAAGTGAAATGGGATCTCAGGAGAATAACGTGGGCCGACCATCACAAAGTACATTGTAATATCTCAAGAGACTCACCTGGACATAGTGGACATGCTCGAACAGATCGCCTCGGTGGTAGCGCACAGGCAGGTCGAAGGGGCAGTAGAGGCTGCGCTGCTGCTGACCCAGCCGACACATCTGATGGTTCCCTGGAGCACACAAAATTGTTATATATATCCTTTCTTTTTCATATTTAGCATGCTGAATCACAGCCAACATGTTTGTTCTTGACCAGCTAAAGCAATGAGCTTTTCTTCTCTTATGACACACAATAAGACGCCTCTAGGTGTTGTCAGATCTATGAGCGTGGCATCTTACCGAGCTGGGCTTCCTTGGCCATCTGGGTCTCGTGGATAATGTTGCGCAGGATCTGCTCTTCCTGCAGCAGCTTGTGTTTGTCCAGCGCCTCCTGCTGGCGAAGGTAGTGGTCATGCTGCTTCTGGTACTCCTTCAGTTCGTTCAGTGTCCGCTGCAGGGATCTGAAGATATAGGACAATGAGGAAGGCAAATACAGGACAGGCAGGAAAATAAAGTCCATCACGTGACCACCCTACGACTACAGAGACGTTTCTGTAAATCCACACAGACTCTCGGCCAACTCTGGGGACCTGTCTTTTACTTACATACGGACTTCCCCATGGATGGGTTGCAGTGCAAAGAAAATGTCCCTACAGGGAAAATGTATTGTTTTTACTGTTATCATTAAAAAAAAAAATCCCCTTTAATTCAATTTTTAAGACATTTTTAAAACTGAACTGTAAAAAAAAAAAAAAGAGAAAAGAATGCCTTCTCAGATAACCTAACCCAGGATTAAACGTGTGCTATACTGGTAGGCAGAAAGTTTGTTCTTGTTGGTGCCTCACATTTGTGTCCATATATCATTGCGAGTATCTTATCAAACCAAAGTACTTCAGAGAGGGAATGACCGAGCGCCTGCCTACCTGTGCTGGGCTTCCAGGCGCTGCTCCAGCTTTTGCTGACACAGCACAGAGTGTTTCCTCCTCAGGGCCTGCTCGAACCCGGGCTGGGCCTGCAGCGCCTGCTCGTAGCACAGCACCGAGTGGTTGTATTCCCCGAGCATCTGTTCAGACAGCGAGAGAAGGGGAGACGGACACATCGCGGAGACAGCTGAGGTCAAACAGTGATTTGTTTCATGGAGAAATCCCACTGTACTAAAACTAAAAGAATGTAGCCGACTAAACATATATATGGAGGACTACGCGCTGCTGGTAGGAAGCTGTGGGGACTCAAAGAGAAGTGTTGTGTGAATATGAGTTTAGTCAAATAAAGGCGATTCATCTCGCGAATGGTCTGACAATAACAAGCCTCTGGGGGAGCCAGTAGATATCTGGGACAAGACTTCCTTTTCTGCGCTCTGCTCATTGTTTACAGTCTGATTGGCAACTTGAGATACAAGACCAGAGTTGGAGTTTAGAGACGAAGTGTACGACCTGATTGTTTTACAAGTAGCCAGTTTACGAGCTCATTTCAAACCAATAAAAAGCAAATCATCTTCATGCGTTCTGCCTCTTTTCTCCACGCGGACTGTTTACCTGCATTCAACCAAAGCCTTCTCTGACGTGATTGGTCGACACTCCTCAGACTACAAAAGCGGGAAACCAGAACGCTTTCAATACCAGAATCTTGTCCCATTGCCTCTGGATTCTACATATGAATGCAGAGTCTGTTTATAGAGATTAATAAAGTCCCTACACAAGTATAAAAGTCTTGGATGGCAATATGCTGCATCTTCTATATATACTGACCAGTGCGAAAAGAATATGCTAGTAGCAGAATTCTGTCTCATTGGTGTTATGGGAGTCCTGAAAGCCAACTACAGATGGTGAGATAGCAAAAATCAGTGTCAATAAATTTGCCACCATCTTCTTTCCTGTGAGCTAATGTAGTAACAGTAAGAAAGAACAGGAACGAAAGCTTACTACAGTTTACTTAACCAAGTGTGAATTAACTACAGTGTACTGACAAACTACAGAAGCAGTAGCTGTGATCCTGTTAAAGAAACCACACTGAACGGACGACCAGATGCATGTCTGTGGCTTAAATACACACGTGTCTACTGCAGTGGTATCATACGTCTTTGGCTTACAGCATAAATGTTGCCCAAGGTGTAGTGGCCGGTAAACATATCTGACGTAAGGTCCAAGGCAGCGTGGGCAAGAATAGCAGCATCTGCCGAGAAATGGGCGCGGTGCAGGATGTTGGCCATGTTGACCAGGGCTATATCCTTGTGCTCCCTGCAAGGACACACACACACACACGCGCGCACACGCATGCACGCACGCACGCACACACACACACACACACACACACACACGAGACCATGAGAACGTGAACACCTGTGAGCAGTCTCACACCATAAACAGGATACTATTGCGGTGTCGACAGTACCTCGGGGAGAAATGCAGAGCATGCACCACGCAGTCCACCGCCCTCTGAGGCTCGTTCTTCAAGCGCCAGTAAAACGACGCTATGTTGTACAGCACCCAGGATGATGAATTCTGGAACACACAATCGTAAAGATGTGCACACGCACACTATTTTAACCTTTAGGACTCTATAGAATCTTTGTCGTCCCCCCCCCCCAACGTAGTTTTGCTGCATTGACTAATGGACCGTGGTCTTTAATATGTGTATAGTGTAGTGAGGGAGTTGTCCAGGCAGACCTTACCCTCAGTAACTCTTGATGGACGCGATGGCCCACCTCTTCAACACTGCGGCCCAGCTTATCAGACAGTGAATTAAAAATGGGATCCTCCTTAGAGAGCAGTGGGGAGGTCAAGTTCGCCCTCTCCTGCACACCCTGGAACAGATAGAAGTTCAGCTTTAAGTGGAGTTTTAGCATGTGATCGGTCACACAAAGGCGACATCTCTGTTGTGTGCAGAGCATCAATGACTTCACCTGACAGAAGGGCTTACTGAAAATCTCAAGTACTTTTTACAACTACATAAACAAGTCTGAAGAGCTGTGTTTTGAGGGCCTTTTTGAATGACCGTATGTTTTTTAATGGTTTGGTAATGAGTTCCACCGAGCGGGGAAGACAACTGACAACACCCCGTCACCCCAGGTTTGGTCCTTGAGACTTGCAGGAGGTTGGAATCCGCAGACTAGAGGCATATTTAAATATAACACAAACAACCTTGTTGATAAACTGCAACAAAAGCTTTGTTCACTGAAGCCAAACCAGCTTCCCTCTGAGCTCTTCTTCTTTTCAGCTCTGGATTACTGGGATGTGACATATCTAAATGCAGCTGCCTCAGGCCCTTTAGAGTGCATTTCCCATTAAGCGGTCACGCCAGCTTCACACTGGATGCCGAAGAGTTGCAAAACGCAGCGCTGTGTCAATAGTTGCGCAAGCAGTAGCCTGCCTGCTCACACACATTTCTCCACACAGGTAAACAAGTGATTCTTGTGATTTTCAGTAGCTGCTTTCTACAGAGCTAATCTCTGTCCATCTGCTTGTGTGCGTCTACTCGTCACACATATTATTCTCTCCTGTATGCGTCTGTTCTTACACGATTTAAATAATTTCCCACTGAAACTGTAAAATGCCAGATCCACCAAGCTAAAAGTTAAGCCCCTACTCACCCTGAGATGCTGGAAAGCATGGATACTATAAGGTAGTTCAAACACTTTTGCACAGTCAGGCTTTTCTAGATCCGGGGGCAGAGCTGACCGGGAATCGACATAGTCTTCAGGGCTATAGGAGGAGGGCAGAAACATTTCTTTAAGCATAAGCATATAATTACTCTAAACATAATCTAAAGGATGCCTTAACCACTTTACAAAAACATTGTAGAGATAGCAAGAATGTTGTCGTGTTTCACAGAGCAGAGCTTACCTGATGTCTTTGCTTTCCAGGGATATATAAGTGCCATCATAGAGGTCCAGGTCTCCCAGGGGAACCTTAGCCATGACACAGTCTGCATCCTCTTTGTAGTGTCTCTGCTCCAGCCCCGTGTCTCGGTCCTCATTCTCCTCAATGTGGATCTTCTGCGCCACCAGCTGCTTCTGCTCAACCCCAGCCAAGGAGAACAATCAGTGAAGACCAATAAGCATGAGAGATGGACAGTCGACAAGAGTAGGAAATGGTATTCAATGAATAAAGTAGCGATAAAAAGGGTATTTATGATCCTTTTTCCCCCACGGTATTGACAAACTGTTATCTCTTTTCTGCACAAATGAAACTGAAGGAAAGAAACTCATTAGCCAGAATGAGATCCCAAAGAGAAACACACTTTGACAACATCTTTGCACAAGATACTGATTAAATTAAACAAACACACACACCTCCAGCGTCTTGAGGTAGTTAACACGAGTCTCTTGCCTCATGAAAATCACAACATCATGTGGATGCTTCAGATTCAAAGGTGAGTCAACCTGAAAAAAGAAAATATTCATGTCAATCCCACTGAATGCGAATCAACCATCCGATTAATATAAGTATATGACAATAGATTCAAATTATATAGCTAGTCATGCTGGAAATAGCCTTTTCCAACTTTAAAACTTAATCTATTAGAGCATGTAAAGCATGTAATATTAACATTAACACTGTCTTTGTCTCTAGTAGTTTGATGGCAGCTGTCACAAACCGACACTTGACGTTATCATAATAAATAAGCGACGTTAACATGGGCCTGTCATCTTGACATAACACACCTTACGATAACGTCAGATTGAAGGTAATGTTAGCTAGTGGAAGCTAACCGACTTAGCCAAACAACATTATATTTAATGCCACTTGTCTCGCTGTATGTAACATCACTCAAAGCTGGCAAACGGGTCTTGTTGAGATCCGATTTAGCGGCTACAATTAACGTTGACAAACCATAGACGTTACCATTAACGCTAACAAATATAGCTTCGCAAGCTTAGCCACCTAACATTAGCAGGTCGATGAGCTAGCGATAAACTGTCATACTTGTTGTTGGATTTTTCCATCCTCTGTGACAACCCAGTGGGTCGTAGCTCCGCCGGAATCCACTATAAGCACGCAGAGAAAGATGAAAAGCTTCCCCTGAAATGACGTTTTTCGCGAATAGTTGACGCGACGGGGCAAAGACTCAGGACAGATATTCCTGAGGTCCGCCATTTTTTTTTCTGTCTCATTTTTGCTCTGTGGTGGTAACGGTAAGTGCAGCCTCCGGCCAGAAGGGGGCGCTAACCGCCCCGCAAGTGGCAAAAAAACAAACAAACCACACAGCTTGCCGTTTTTGCTATGTGGCAACGGTAAGTGCTGCCTCCGACCACACGGGGGCGCTAACCGTTCGCAAAAGGCAAAAAAACTAAACTCTACAGGTTGCCGTTGATGACGTCTGGAAAAGAAAAACAGGAAATTCTGTAGAAACGAAAAAAGATTCCAGACACTTTCAAAGGCTAAAAGGTAGGTATTATATACGAATATGATCTACTTTCACAGCTTATAGTCAGCACTTGAACGCCGTTGTTTGCTGAAGAGGATGCGTGTGTGCCGTCCCTGCTGTTTCGGTCAGTATCTTTTTCCTCTTAATCGTTCTTTAGCACACCTAAGTTAAGGTTTAAAGTTGCAGTTCCGCATCCAGGGGCATGACTAACTCCTACTAGATCAAGTGACAACACTGCCGACGCTATTCACTGTGTGTCATCATAGTGTGTCTGCTATGGAAATAGTTTGCAACGGTGTCCCCAGTATGAGCTGGGTGCCACTTTAGTGAGGATGTTGAGTCATGCTTACTGTGAAAAAGAATGACATTACACGTTACTTCCCATTATGGGCGTAACGTTATAGCTGTACCTCATTTTAGAGAGTAACGCCAGCTCATGTAACAGTATGAGAAATGCATGTGGTAGCTACACATGTGCTACATTAACATGGCTGCACTGTAATTGTGTTGATATTATTGTGTGCTAAGCAACAAATCCTCAGGATACTTCCTCATGATCAGAAAATATATTCAACACAAGTTCAATATTTAATGTGTCAATGTATTGCCATTTATTTGATTGGAATTTAATGCAAAACCAAAACCAAACCAAACCAAAAACAAAACCAAAACCTCAAGATTTCACATGACCTCACCTCACTGAAACGGGAAACTTGTTCGAAACAAAAAGTAATCGATTATTCAACAATTCAAAATACCTTTTGCTGGCTCCATAAAGCAACCATGGTGTTTACTATCTATGTTATGGTAGAGGATAATGAAATAACACCGCTGCTGTTTTAAAATTTAAGGGTAAAATTAGCTCTGTGTCCCGTTTATCTGTAGCTTAAATGGTGTTAATTTCAGCAAATGATACCAGCGTCTGGCTTGTGATTGTGACGCAGTTCTAAGCCACTTTGTCCAGCTGTTTTCTTGAGGTGTTTCTGTTCCACACAGTTCTTCTTGCAATGCTCTCGTTAGGCGCTTCAACACACCATCCTGTGATACCAAACCTTTCCATCTGTCTTGAATAGAAAAGTCTTTGCTGAGCTTTCTTCAGTACCGATGCCAACTTTGAAAAATAAGTAACATTTACACACAGTATAATAATGCCTTATTTTTTTGCCACTTTCACCCTGATATCCAATGTTTGTTTGTCTCACTCTCCACAGATGGCTTCATTTGAAAGCAATAAGGGAGGTTTGCAGGAGGACAGCTATGAAGGAGCGGTCGGTGGAGAGCTGTCCAGCTGCGCGTTGGCGATGCTGGAAAAGGAACGTGAATGCCTCCTCAGCCCGTCAGAGAGCCCTGGCACCTTCATCAGCAGCACCTCCACCACTCCCGCCCCCCTCCAGGGCTACGATGTGGAGTTTGACCCCCCCCTAGAGAGCAAATACGAGTGCCCTATCTGCCTCATGGCTTTGAGGAATGCCATTCAAACACCCTGCGGTCACCGTTTCTGCAAGAACTGCATTGAGAAGTCTATTCGGTATGCTACTGTGCAGCTCCCTAAAAATATATGTGCCGTGCGTGCGTCGAAAAGATGCAACATGTTGCTAACTCCTGCCGTATTAATTACCGCTTTCCTTGCAAAACAGCGACACAGGACAGAGGTGCCCCGTGGACAACGAAAGGCTGTTAGAAGACCAGTTGTTTCCCGATAACTTTGCCAAGCGTGAGATTCTATCGCTGACCGTTCGCTGTCCGAACTCCGGCTGTGCTGACAAAATGGAGCTCCGGCATTTAGAGGTGAGCATTTTAAGATTCACACGCATCTCTGATTTTGAATGCAGCTCAAACAAGATAAATACAGGAAATAGAAAATTTAAGTTAAAAAGCCAGAATTTGAAACTGCATGGTATGATTTAAAACACATTTAGGTAATTGTGGTTACTTGGATGTTTATACTGTATTGCTCATTGTGGTCAGTTATGGTTGATTCATCACTACTTGTACTCAAGAAGACGTGTCTCTCCCCCTGTCAACACAGACTCTCTCTCTCTTTAATTCCAACATATCCTCTCACTCTGCGTCCTTGTTTTGGCATAAAAGCTGCGTCAGGTGCCAAGTAAAGAAACGGCAATCTTCCTCTGGCGTGGACGATGAAATTGGACCACTGCTGTCTCGCCACAGAATAATATTAACTGCATTGTTTCGATGTCTTACTCCTTCCCCCAGAATCATGTGCCCCGGTGTCAGTTTGCCACCGTGCCTTGCTCGCAGTGCCAGCAGTCGGTGAGAAAGAGCCACCTTGAGGAGCACAAAACAGTGGAGTGCCAAAGGAGACCCATGACCTGTCCAGATTGTGTGGCACACTTTTACTATGAGGAGAGAGAGGTAATGTGGACTCGCTTATCTAACTGCTCCTCTTGCCGTTTTTTTCCGGAATAGTTCTCATCGGAGAAACAGCGAGGATTAGTCCCCTCACAGTCTGTTTTGGTTGCCCCTTCAGCTTCATGAGCAGCAGTGTCCCTTCGCCAGCGTGACGTGCCAGTACTGCGAGATGGATCTCATCAGAGACCAGGTGAGCTGTAACAATGTCTGCCATGAGGGGGGGAGGCAGGCCTCTGGTAAAGTTTTATAGGTGTGAATTGTTAATCATTTAATGTAACTTCTGTTAACAGGAATGGGGAACAATAAGTCCACACACGGTGCATTTGATGACATTTAAATAGTGTTCTGCATGAGACAGGAAGTTGGCTATTTCCAAGAGAGTTCCCTCTTCACATCCGTTACATCCTGATTTAAATAACTAGATATAAGTGAAGCTAAACTGATGATGTTTTTGTTTCAGATTGAGTCTCATTGTGACACCGATTGTCCAAAAGCACCCATCGCCTGTAACTTCAGCACCTTCGGGTGTAAGGAAAGGGTAGGTGATCGGATCCAAATCTCCGACACAGCGTCGAAAAAGAACGATCGTTGAGTGCTCCGTCTGTTGCACGCCCGTTAAAGCGGTTTGCCTCTTTGCAGATGCAGCGCCACAACCTGGCTCAGCACATGCAGGAGTTCACGCAGATGCACATGCGCTACATGGCCGAGTTCCTGCGTGGCCTCAGCCTCAACGGCACCACGCCCAAGTCCCTGTGGACGCTGGGACCTTCCATTTCCTCCGAGGATCAAGGGGCTGCAGCAGCATCAGCAGCGGCCTGTAGTGGGCCAAGAGGAGCTGCGAGCGGCAACGGCAACTGTGCGCCGAGTCAGCCTGCTGAAGAGATTCAGAGGCTCCGGGAGATGGATGGACGGTTGGTGAAGCAGGACCACCAGCTGCGTGAGCTCATCATCCTAAAGGAAACGCAGGTAAAGGACGCCCGTGAGCACAATTATGTGTCATCACAGAATCTGTGAGCACAGTTTGTGATGCGTCTTCCCATGTCTTGGGTCTCTCATATGTATTTGCAGAAATTGAATATGAAGTCATAACACATCAATGACTTTAACTTCCAGTTATTAGATTAATAATATCTGATTGGATTAATATAATAGATCATTTATGAGCTAATGCAGAACTAATTGCTAGTTTTTAGAAGGTAAAGACAAACCAAAGAATCAACACTTGTGTGGTACTCGGTGGCTCATGTACATAAAGGGATACTTCTATATTGTGTACTTTTTTATTGTTTTTATTAGACCCTAGTCATTTGGTGGTAAAGTGTGAAAGAGGAGATGTCAAACCTGCTGTGTAGAAAAATATAGCTCCCGTGAAAGTACGTGATGTTTTATGCCTTCATCAAATCACAGAGTTATATTTTTGGAGTGTCTCCATTTCTTTTCCCAGAAGGCTCAGTTGCTCTCTCTGTTTGAGCACAGACGTTTGAACTGTGTGTCTGCACAGGAGCGAGCTGCGCTTTTTCAGCTCGTTTCTCTCACGATGTACCCTCGTAATGAGGACCCCAAACTTACTGTTCATGCTTCACGTCTATTTTCTTTCGTTTTACACGCGTGAATAGTCCTCTTATCGGTTCGGTTCCTTAGCGATACTCTTATTGGTTCTTTTTGATTATTTTGGGAGAAAAAAAAGACAATTCATTAAGAACAGAACCACATTGGTTTATTATTTTTGTATGTGAACAAATAGTCTTTCTTGAGCAGCAATACAAAAAGTTCCAAAATCTATAAAATACATCCGCAGCTAAACAATTAGCTAAGTGATTAGCTTTCATTTATTGGACTGTTCTTATGATCAAATTTCAATTTTCAGGGGGGCATTTTTAAAGTGATGTCGTGTTGGGCGCTGCCAAAACACAGGTGACCTACACTCAGTACTGTGCCTGAACGCATCCTGTGTGGACACGGATGGAGCTAACTTGCTGCTCAAGCTGCACCTCCTGTGACGACACACACAGTCATGTTAAACTATCGTCCCATGTCCTCCACAGGCTGGCCAGCTGGCAGAGCTCAGGCGCCGAGTGTCGATGCTGGAGGAGACCGTGAAGGACCTGGAGTCGCAGCAGTGTCACGGCATCTTCGTCTGGCACCTCAGAGGTTTCTCCGCCCACCTGCGGAACCAGGAGGCGGGCCAGCCAGTGGTGGAGCACAGCCCCGGCTTCTACACGGGCCGTCCGGGCTACAAGCTTTGCCTGCGCTTACACTTGCAGACCCCCAATGCCCCGCGCTGCTCCAACTTCATCTCCCTCTTTGTCCACACCATGCAAGGGGTATTCGATGGGCAGCTGAGCTGGCCGTTCCAGGGCACCATCCGCCTCGCCATCCTGGACCAGGGCCCAGAGGCTCAGCACCACGTCGAGTTGATGGAGACCAAACCAGACCTGCAAGCCTTCCAGAAGCCCGTCATCCAGCGCAACCCCAAAGGGTTCGGCTACGTCACCTTTCTGCACCTGCATCAGCTGAGTCAGAGAGCCTTTGTTAAAGATGACACTCTGCTCATCCGCTGTGAGGTGACGCCACGTCTTGACAATGTGCTTCACCGTGACGGACCCACTGTGCAGCCCAGAGGACCCGAGGCCTCGGTTTCGAGGGACTAAAGTCAAACTCGTATCTATAATATCACCATCATGCCGAGATGCCAGCACAGCACATCTCCCAGTGTTTAAATACGGCTCAGTTCATTCTGATTAATGGACACCAGGAGAAGAGAAATTGATGTTCACACACATTTAAAATTTGGACACTGCAAGTATGCTAGTATTTATTTGTTCACCGACTTTTAAATGTCTGTGATGTTTGTTTTAATAAATATAAACAGTACGATCCTTTTTAATATATCTGAAATGTACATAGTCACCCGCATGGTACCAACATTTAGCGAGCCTCATAAGTTAAATTTTTGCACGTAGGTATGTTTAATCAGCTCGACATCACCAGTTTAAGATGTGCACTTGCTGAATATTCCTGGAAGACTTTCCGCTCCTGCTCTGGTTGTTGGAGACAGCACTGAATGTTAAATCTGCTAAATTTGAAATTCAGCCCGTTAATATAGCAGCAGACAATTATTTGTTCTAGAAAGATGTAATGAAGTGAGTGAAGTCGCTCTCCCTCTGTGTGTGTGTGTGTGTGTGTGTGTGTGTGTGTGTGTGTGTGTGTGTGGTAATCTGGGCATTTCTGTGCTTTGTATACGTAGCCGGTCCAGCCGCACGTGCTTGTTGGAGCGTGCACCGCTGGCTAGCTCATGGCCGCCACTCTGCACTCATACTAGCGAATACCGCTGAAAAACGCCTTTTTCAACCGCCGGCGTTGTCATCGAAGAGTAACGCCCACCCTACGGTTCCCCCGCAGGTAAACACTGTAGGTCAGCACTGTTTGCACCGCTACCTGATATCCGTTGACTCAGCCGTCAGCATGTTGAGAGCCACGTGGAGGAAAACTCTCAATCATAGAAATGCACTGAATTTGAAATTTAGCACATTTTTAAAGATATGTTAAAGATACCCCTGTGGAGTTTTTTTTTTTGCCCACTAGTGGCGCTATGGAGCAACGGGAACGTTGCTGGGCTGTGTAGCAATTTTGTTGTGGGGGTCCAAAGAGACATTGAGAAAGAGACGTGAAAAAGAAATGAAGAGATGCCACAAACACAAATTACTTCTAAATGCATTTTGAGATCTTAGTCCAACAAAAGTAACACATCTGGAAGAGCTCTAACATCTTGTTTTCATGCCTTTCACGTCCAAAGACATGGAGCTTTTCTTTTCCTGTGTATGTGCCAGGTGAGCAACTTTTATTAGAATGAATATAGAGTGCTATCTTAGAATTCGGGATCCATTTCTTTTAATATATCTACGGGGAACACAAGATGCTGAGAAGTATTACGTCATATCTGATCATGTTCATCAAACAGGAGGAGGGCTACACGACATCCCTCGGTTTCACAGTAGTACACTGGATGTTTCGTGGTGGTAACATGGCAAGAAGCTTGGTAATGTTCACGCAAAGGAGGAAGAACAAGACTACTAGTTGGTGCATGTGTGGGTATTTGGAAACAATGCAAAATATTCTAAAGTCTTCTCTGCAAATGTTTCATTTGTTGCACCTTACCAATGCATTCAGTATATTTTTATGTGTTATATCCACAGGGAACTTTTAAGCACGGCCATTGTAAGGAATAGCAAAACACATTCATGTTTATTCTTTTGACTGTATTCTTCTTAAGGCATCATTGTGACATCAGTAAAAAAAGAGACTTTTTAACATGGAGCTTCTGTTTACAGGGTTTCATCACCCCTGCAGATTTATTACATTACTGCCGTGCATATTGGTCACTAAGTTGCTTTTGACAGATTCACGATGCCTTTCACAAAAGTTCCGACCTCAAACCGATATTTCCACAGCAGACATGAATCTAACATCACGGGTCGGTGTCTTTATTTGAAGCCATTATTCTGCCAGTTCAGCCTTTACATGATGTAATAAATATTGAAACATTTTTTTGTTTTGGTATTGTTTCTCCATCTGTTACTTTGCATTATTATGATGCCATTCAAAGTGATATATCTGTGTCAAAAAATGATTACTGTTAATGTTAACAATTAAATGAGATGTTATATTATCCACCGATGGAAATGGCTCACCTTCACTGTAATGTGTAACATTAGATGTGACTTGAACCTTAAATTAAGACGTCGATTCATGCATTCTTTCCATTTAAACCAAAATGTTATACTTCTTGCTGCCCTAAAGGAACTTATTTCCTATAAGAAATAAAGAAGTACATTTAAAGAAGTCTGGTCTTACAACAACATGATGCCGTATAACCAGAGAGGGATTTAGTGAATTAGTTTATTAAGATATAGCACAAACGTCCCCACAACACTCAAAAACCAGGGAGACATCTGAGAAAACACTTTATTAATTTAAAGTCCATTAAAATCAATTTCCCCTTTCCCCCCCAATTATTGTACCCCAAAATATTACATATAGTATCATAAATAGCTGTCTGCGTGCTACCAGTTAGCGTTTTATTCATCAATGTATGGAAACTTTTTGTTAGCTCCATATCCCGAGTGACCAGGTCTGGCCTCATCCTCTTGTTTGACTTCTCTCTCTGGTTGACTTTGAGGTGCGTCCTTGGTGCTGCTTAGACACACTGAAACGTCATATTGATATTTAGATAGATCAATATACTGTGTATGATCACAGTATATTACTGTTAGAAGAGAACAGTGTTCATGTCTATTGTCACGCGATTATCAGATCTTTGACTCACATGGAGCTCTTGGAGCTTCTTTCCCGCACTTGAGTGTGCTTTGAGCAAAGCACTCTGCCATCCAGGACAACACCTCTCCACAATATCTGACCTAGACAACGGCAGAAATGACCGAGGGTTCATGCAAACTGTCTGTCAGATTACTTACAAAGACAGTGTTATACGAAACAGGCTTAGGAATACGGATCTTTATTATTATTTATTATTTACATGGCGCTGTCACTTTTTCAGATTTACCTGAGCCTCCATGGATACCAGTCGTTTCTCTTGGTCCTTGAACCCACCGACAATCCTCAGCAAGCTCTGAACCCTTGGTCACAAACAAGACATATTCAATGCTGCAATCATCTTTTTTTTTTTTTTTTTACAACTTGGGGGCAGAAGCTACATGCATGTGTTCAGGGACCTCTGGATCTGAAAAGTGAAGCCAATGGCTAAACCTGCAATCTCTCTACTGACCAGCAGGGGGCGACTCCTCTGGTTGTATAGAAGTCTATGAGAAAATGACTACTTCTCTCTTGATTCATTACCTCAGTAAACATTGTAAACATGAGTTTATGGTCTCAATCTCTAGTTTAAAGTCTTCTTCAATACAGCATGATGTTCATTTAGTAAATGATGGTCCATTTAGAGTCAAACAGACCATAAAGCAGGGGATGCTTTAGGGCGGGGCTACACGGTGATTAACAGGTCAGCGTTGTCCATTCTGGGAGTTTACCATGTTTTTGTCTTTGGACTCTAGCCCTTTCATTGTGTTTTCATGAACGTTAGTTTTTAAATTTCTGGTCGCCTAAAAATTTTATTCAACAACCAGTTGTACTTAGCTCCACCCTCTCATGTCATTTCTGGTTGCAAAAAACTAAGATGACGGCGGCCAAAAATTCGTCAAACCGATGGGTGACGTCACGGTGACTACCTCCACTTTTCACATACAGTCTATGATAGTGTCCAGTGTGGTTATCATACTGTCATACTCCTACCATATGACAGTTTTTACAAAAATTACAAAACAACCATTACTTCGAGGAGGTACTCTTGAGTCTCTCCTCACTGCTCTCCCAATGCTGGCGCTCCAGTTTGGCCAGGTAGTTCTCTTTCTGCACCGTCTCCCAAGTTATCAGCCTCTGGTCTAGCCCCGCCGGCAGCTCCCTCTCTAGCAAAACACATACACAGACATACACAAGGAGGCAGTCCAATAACCAATTAAGCAACAGGCAATTCCCTTGCATAGAGAATAGATAAACACACAGCTTGTTTTTCAGTATTTCTTTTCATGTTAATTTAGCCCGATAAGCCACAGTGAACTATTTCTATCTCCTTGAAATAATGTACAATGGCTTCCTAATGAAAGTATGAATATAACCTTCATACCAAGATGCTCCTGCTTGGACGCGGGCTGTTTGAACAGGCTGAGGAGGAGCTGAGATAGGTGGCTGATGATGATGAAGGGCGGGGCCAGTGCCGGACGGCTGTGGTATTCCACGATCAGGTTGTATCTCTGGAACTTCCAGAAGATGTCTGTGTTGCCCTGCACAACCTGGAATGTGTAGCTGCAAATGGCAAAAAAGAAGCGCGAAAAAGACAAAAAAATCAGTTTGTGTTTTTGATTTGTTTTTACTTACAAAGAAGCCACTAGCATGTGTCAACGCATGTCGTCGGACAGACAAACATGTGGAGGGTTTTCTGGATTCCCCGCCTCTGACCTGAACATGGCAATGAGCAGGTTCAGCAGCAGGACATTGGTGACAAGAAGGAAGATAACCAGCAGCAGGATGACCAGCCAGTTGGCGTAGATGTTGGGACACGGCGGACGCAGGCCCATGATAATCTCCTCTGAGTCATTGGTGCAGTTGATTTCAGGCATGCGAGCAGCTGTGCTCCGTTAAATGAAGAAAATTAGATTAGAAGACATCAGGATGACGGTAAGCATCGCTGATCGCATAAATGAATATAAAAACAGCATCTTACACATTTCAAAAGTTGCAGAAATTAACATCTGCTGTAATTTACCATCTATTTCCTCCAGGGGGATCTGGCCAAAAATGTGCAGGTAAGGGCGGTACAAGGCCCTCCGAAACACCCAGTCAATCCTCGGGTCGTTGGGGTGGAGAAGAGCCTGGGTGGCGACGCCGTACGCAATCATCCACACGCTCAGGAAAAAAAGGAAGAAGAAAACGTCCTTCATCTGTAAAGGAGAGAAAAAAACATGTTTTTTATCTTCTCAATGGGCTACACAAGGTCTGCATTGACTACGTTTACATGCACATCCTTGCACTAATAATATCATTTACATGCAGCCTTTTGTACTCTAATTAACGTAACCGTTGGCGGACTGTTTGATTGTGCGAACACAGCCTTCGTCTTTCATTCCTTCAACCACCTTCTTGAAAAGGTCGGCGTTGAGATATGTGAGCATATCCAAAAGCCTGCTTATATCCAAGTACTTACGACTAGAAATGTGGGCTTTTCTTTCGGGCATGCATCTCCGCAAACTGTTGGTGTTGTTGGACAACTATAAAAAGCATTACTTAAAAGGCCTCAGTTTTTGGGGAGGGGAACTTAAAGAGGCAGGCGCTAAAACGGAGCATTTCAGACAGAGGGTGAATACAGACATATTTAGACAGTATGAGAAAAACAAAGTGCTTTTTTAACATTAAAGCATGTAAACATGTCCTAGGAGAAATCCAAAAAGAAGTTTGAACCTGAAAACGAGCATGGCATGTCCCCTTTAAAATGTTCATAATTACAATGTTTGGGTAATACTGCTCTGTTCTGCTCACCATTCTTTCCACAATGATGATCTTGGGGCCCAGCTGCTTATGAATGGCGAAGATGTGGATCAGACGGAGAGTGAACACCATGAAGTCGATCGCCAGAACTGTCCTTCCTGCCTCATACGTGTCCTTAACCATCCTGCAAAATGAAGCAAAGAAAGAAATTACCGTTTGGTTTATTCCTTCTTCCCATTCAGTAATTCATTCATGCAATCGCTCTTTTGTTTTAAATGCTCTATTCTAAGCCATCATAACAAACCTAGAGCCTGTCGTGTCATGTTATATTTCTCCAGTGTCATCGATGCACTTTAATGCCAGTTACCTGCATGAGACCCCGACAACAAAGAGTGAGATGGCGACCATGTCACACTTGTTCCAGTTGTCCTCTACGTACAGTTTGAACTTCTTCAAGATGCTCATCTCTTCGTCCGTGAAGAAGCTCTGTGTCAGAGAACATAGTTCACGCATGACTATAATTATTTGTACATTTTTGAAAAATAAAAAAAGGTAGTTCATTAGAAAATCAGAGTCCTTTTCCAGCAACTTTATATATTTGGAAAAGTGTGACGTGAAATGCTTTCCCGTTGCAAGACTAAGTCTCGCTTTCATTTCTATTTTCTACTGTTATGTTCATATTTCTTTCATCCAACATTCTGTGCTTTTGTAGCATAAGTAATTTGGTAGAAAGTGATATTACAGTATTGTTTTGTTGTAAGAGAAATACAACTTTAAAAGATGCTATGGGACTGAAATATAAATATAACTTAACAAAGATGTTTCTAAATGTAGGTTCTGTGGTCCTGTACATTTTCCCGTTCATATGTAAATATTTATATTTATTTATTATTCTTTAAAGCACTAATATTTTTCTCTGACAGGTCAGACGCTGGAGTCCTATTTTGTCCTGCGGGGACTAAAGGGAGTTAGCAGGTGCACAGTCCTGCTTCTTTTGAAGCACCTGCATGTGTCCCAACAATCCTGTAAAATGTCTCTCGCACTTAAGAGTGTGAGGTTGAGTTGTCTCCTGTGGTTTGAACAGGGAAACCTGTAAGTGCATCAAGAGCGGCTGCTTGGTCCCTCGATGGGGCAGTTGGTTGGAGAACAAGCTGAGGGAAGTATGCTGTGTTCATAAAGTGGTAGACTGCTGCGTAAGCCCCGGCTGTACTACAGCAAAGCCCGACATGATGACCGAATACTCAAAGTACCAAGCAAGACACAGTTGTCCTAATCAGCAGCACGATCACAACGGCTACGGTGCCGTGTAAAAGGATTTACCCTCTTTGGTGTTTATATTGATTTTTATTTTGCTGTCATGTAACGGAGCTACACAAAATGGTCAAAACTGGTGACGTGAAATGAAAACAATGACTTGTTTTAAAAGATTCTAAAAGATAAAAAACTGAAAAGGGGTTTTGTTCTGAAGCCCCTAAATAAGATCTGATGCTACC